GTTAATTCAGTGAGGAGTGTATATAGTAAATGGAATATAGGATTGCATACTCTGGCAAACATCCGTTGACTTCTCATTGGCTGGCTGTAGTGCACTGAGCTCCTTTTGGGGCTTAAAATAACTCTTCTGTCTTTTGAATATCCTGCAAAATATTTTGACTTCTGAAACAGCTCATATGAGGTACTTCTGGGTTTGGGTTTTTGTTTTGAGGCATCTACATTTTGAGACCGATTTTGTGACTGTAAGGCAATGTTACTAGGATTAGTGACTTCTTCGTATTGAAAAAATGTGAAAATATTTTTTTGACACTCCTTTGTCTGGAAAGAAACTTTAGTCATTTGAGCTCTAATTCCATCTCATTGACTTATGCTGAAGTTGAGAAGGAAAGTAGGGAATATATTCAACTTCCTTTTCACTCAGGAAATTCAGGTTCAGGGCATGAGTTGAGACATTTTAATTTAACTGACAGTCAAATAAAGGGGAGTTTAAACAGAAGATGAATATACTTGTATTTATGTAGAAGAAGAAAAGCTACTTGTGCATACAAAATTAATAAAGCTTCTTTTAATTCTAGGCAGCATTACCATCTCTCACAAACCCACCTTCTCTTAGTCCAATTCGGAGGAAGGGGAAAGAGAGGGAGTCTGTTGAACAGGCATCTGTGCCAATGAGCCCTAAAAAGGGTGGTGAAGCGAGTCCAGGTAAGCACACTTACTCCTGTTAACCCTCCCACCGAAGTATGGTTATGGCATAGAGAGGAGAAATAAAACTAACTTGTTTTCTGAAGTTGTAGTTCAAAAGGCTGGCAGACCTACTGTCAGAAGTTCTTTCCAGTACTGCATTGCAGGAAAGGCAGCTGTGGGTGGGAGCTTGTTTACTGTTTTGTTTTCTGAAAAGTACAGTCCATTTTCATAAAGCAAGGTACTTCTGAATCCTTTTCCTCACTGTTTTTCTGAATCTACTCACCTATTGACTAAAATGAAGTGATTTTTGCATGTATTTTACTTAAAAGAAGTTTGAAAGTTGCTTTGCAACTTTTGGCAGGAGTAGGTTACCTTGCTCTTGGAAACAAGACTCAATCTTAAACTTTTTTTTTCTTAGTAATGAATGAAGGAAATGAGTGTTAATTCTGTTTTGTAAATTGTACTTGCACTTCAATAATAAGCCCTCTGAGTTAATTTCTCTTATCCCAGAGGGCTAGTTTCTTGGAATGCTAGTTCATTTTCTAGTTGTACAGCATGTGTTTTTGCAGTTTAAAATACGCATGCAGATTGAAAAATTCATGCTGTCTAATAATTCACATATGGTAAATTATGTTGAGTATACACATCGTGAGCACCCTAGAAAAAGTATGTTGTTCTAATCTACGATACATTTTTAAGCTACTAGGCAAACTGATGCTACTGGGCCTGTTCCAACAAGTAAATCATCTTCAGTAGGAAGCTTTTATCATCTTCCATCATATCTGAAGTTATATGATGTCTTGAAAGCAACCCATGCTAATTATAAGGTACTGCATGATATCATTTGATGGAATTAGAATGTGGTTGGGCAATCACTTTGTGTTTCTTTTAAATATGGCTCTGCTTGTATTGAGACTCACTTGTTTGCCTGTATAAACAGTTTATCCACCCCACCCCCCCAAAAAAAAATTAAAGAAAAATCACAACCACCACCAATAAAAACAAAAACCAGCCAAACATAAAACCCCTAATAGTCGTTGTCACCCTATTGCTTGTTTCTCTGCTGTCACTAATGCTGGTACCAAATGACCCTTTGCTGGCTTAGCAGTGCCGAATGGATCCCAATGTCTGTTCTCTCTGCAGTTTATTCCAGGATGGGTAAGCTTTTTCCTCATTAGTTCAGGTAATAGAAGATGCATTCCCTAAGGGCTTGGCGATCGCCAGGGGGTGTATTCTTACTACATCTACCATGTTTCGGAGGAATACATTATCCCTTCTCTGTTACTTGTTAACATCCTAGGCCTTCCCAGATGCTGTAACTTCCTAAAGCTAGAAAATATCTTTCTTTTTCTTAGTCAAAATGAAGTCCTACCTTTCCAGCAATTCATAAGGGAGTCTAAGCTGTCAGTGCTGTTGATTGAACTATGCTGAAATTTTAGGCAAAAGATCATGTTGTGTCAATACCCACTTCTTTCTGTAATTTTTATCCCCTTGTCAAGTAACTGTTAAGAAAAAATGTGGTTTTCACTTTTTGGGACCAGGTTACTTTGGATCTCCAGAACAGTAATGAAAAGTTTGGATGTTTCTTACGGTCTGCCTTAGATGTTCTGTCTCAAATCTTGGAACTTGCTACTCTTCAAGATATTGGAAAGGTATAAGATTTGTGTGGTTTTTCTTTTGTAGTTAGGTTGTCCAATATCTGTGGTCCTTACTGGGAAAAAGCATGTATTTAAAATTGGTACTGTTGAGAGACAGTGATCCTAGAAGCATTGTGCTGCCACAATGTTGGGTTAAGTGCTAAAGCAGATTTTCCGGGTTAAATTGTTGCTGCTGAAAACTAGAGTAACTTTTTTACTGTCTAAATTTCATGTTGAATTCCTTCCAGCAAAATGGTTTGCCTTCAGTCATTCTTACTATATTAATATGTTTAAATATACTTATGTAAAATATACAAAATGTCAGAAGGCATGCTCTTCTCCTTCCTCTCCTGTGTCTCTTTTTTTGTTTTCTCATTAACTGTGGTGTTAGGCACTGTGGTATTTTAAGACTAGGAGGCAGATCTTGCTTTTTTATTTCTTTACATACTTCCATGATTTCCCTTAAATTAGTGTAGTTCTACTTAGTAAAAAAAAAACAAACCTGTGCTACTGTCTAGTTTTCATAGTAATGCTTTATATAATGAAGAAAAATACAATTAGATGCACTTGTTTTTCTGCTTTTCTAGTGTGTAGAAGAAATTTTGGGATACCTAAAATCATGTTTCAACAGAGAACCAACAATGGCAACAGTCTGTGTACAGCAGGTAAGGAGGTAATTTTTTGTGTATTACTGGAAGGCTAATCCTGATGTCCTGTGGTTATCAATTGGCCAAGACTGGCTATTCTTTTAAGGGAAGCAATGTGAGGAAACTCTAGCTCAGGTGGAGCAAGCAGGGTGTGTTTTCTTTAATTTTCATGACTTGTTCTGAAACTTGAATACCATCTGAATAATATAGTTATTTCTTGAACTGCTTCCAATTCAAAGAACTATATTAGCTAATGCTCAGAAAACACGTTTGTTTCCTACCTTCCCAAATGTGTTCTGTAGCCAGTTAACTACATCAAAAACCTGGAAAGCAAAGAACTGCCTTACTGATGCATTTCTTGCAGGCTTCCAGTTAAACGTTTGGGTTCAAGTCATCAAAGCTTAATTTTGGTGGGAGGTGAGCTTTAGTAGACTATTTTGAGTTTTCACAAGGAAATAGCTTCAGTTGCAAAAACAATCATATCTTTTTGGGTGAGGTGTGGGTTGTTTCTTTTCTCCAGCTTTTTTCTGTTGTCTTGTATTGGACTACGTGATCCACAGGTTGCACTTTGACCTCTCCTCTTAAGTCCTTTGGGAGGATGAGGAGTCAAGTTTCTTTTTCCTGAAATGTTAACTTTTTTTCCTTCCAATTTTCTTCTCTAGTTATTGAAAACATTGTTTGGGACAAATCTGGCTTCTCAGTATGATGGCTTGTCTTCAAACCCCAACAAAGCTCAAGGCAAAGCTCAACGCTTAGGTTCTTCCAATTTGAGACCTGGTCTCTATCATTATTGCTTCATGGCACCATACACACATTTTACACAGGCCCTTGCTGATGCTAGTCTAAGGAACATGGTTCAGGCTGAGCAGGAACACGATGCTTCAGGGTAACTTTCTTCCCTTATGATATAATGTTAACTTGAACTAGAATCTCTTTTTATTGTTTTTCATAAATGCAAGTATAGGGGAGCTAAGTAACTTGAAATTAGTATTGTGTATTATTTATTTCTTGTAGACTTAAGCAGAGTAATTTGTCTTGGTAGTGAGGTCCTGAATGCAACACTGTATTGATTATCACTAATGTGTTTTCCAAATCAAAGCTAAATCATTAAAATGGATATTACTTAAGTTGTTTTAAAAGCATAATGGTTTTAAATGCTTGTATTCAAAACTATTTCATTAATTTGCTAATTATAGCAAATAGTCAGTAGTCTTAAAGGAAGGGCAGAAGAATGACTAAGCAAAGACCAGAAATTCTTTCTCTACTGGATGTTCGTCCACAAATCTGTGATCTGATCAAAGTGTGCTGTAGGTTGTCTCTCCTCTTCTGTTTTACTAAGATTCTTGAAGCAGTCAAGTAGATAAAGAAAAGTTGGCATTGGTAAAACAATACGCATTTAAGGAGACTGTGTTTGTCCCTCCATTTTTTTTAATGTGTATGGTTTTTTTTATGACAGATGGTTTGATGTGCTGCAAAAAGTTTCTACACAGCTGAAAACTAGCATTACCAGTGCAGCAAAACATCGTGCTGATAAGGTACTTGTATCTGTGTACTCCTGAAAGAGCTGTACCTTAGATTTAAAACTTTGTCCTCCTTTTAAAACATAATTTGGTTTTGAATCATAGATCTGTTCAGATATTAGAGTACTTTAAAATCTCTCTATTACAGAATGCTATTCACAATCACATTCGTTTATTTGAACCCCTTGTCATAAAAGCATTGAAACAATATACTACAACAACATCGGTACAGCTACAAAGACAAGTTCTAGACTTGCTTGCTCAACTGGTTCAGCTACGAGTTAACTACTGTCTTCTGGATTCGGATCAGGTTGGTACCTCACCATTTTTGCAAATTTGTAATACAGGAATCTCACCAGCAGGCTTAATATTTACAGCAAAAATACTTGTAACAATCCATTTATTGTACTGTAGGTGAAAACAAAGACTTAAAGGAGGGTGAGACTCAATTCCCCCCCCAACCACAAAGAGCTTCAGACTTCTGGTTTTATATTGCATATAAATTACTTGTTGCAGAGCTTAGAAAGTATTTAGGAACTGTTCATCAGATTGACTTTAGGAATAAGATGATGTGGACAATACAATCAGTGTTGTTTAATAAAACTTCATTTACAAATAGAAATACCTTACTTCTATATTGAGAGTATGGACTTCCATATGACTTCTAGTGGTAAGCATCATGGTTGACAACCATTATTTGATTTTAATGGTGGGGGGAAGTTAGTGGCAAATACAGTAGTCTGTGTGGTTGTCCACATAAGCAGTAAATTTGTAACTTAAAATGTAAGCGTTTGATTTACTACAGTATTTTTGGGTTTATAAACTAGTATGAGTTGCAATACATAAATTTCCTGTAAGTTCATACACAGATAAACCTTTTTCAATGCATGAATACTTTGGATTTTATCTTGGTTTGGAGCTAGATTTTTGGTTGATTCTTAACTTCTTGACTGTAATGCCTCAAATAGTGTGTTACGGATGAGAGAGAAAGTTATACTTAAAAGTATATAGACTGTAGGTAAAATGTGGCGTAAGTTCATGCAAACCATAATAAGCTCTAATGTCAACAAGATTCTCAAAGATCTTCTATAACTGTAGGGGGAACACTTCATAACAATTAGAATGAACTATAAGTATAAATGATTTTCAGTGCCTGTCTTTCCTTTCTCTCCTTCCAAAACATGCACTTTTATAACTCTGTCAAAATGATTTCAAATGGGAATTAATGCCTCTGTATCTGTTGTACACTTTATTCTCTCTTTAGGTGTTTATTGGATTTGTGCTAAAGCAGTTTGAATACATTGAAGTAGGACAGTTCAGGTATGAAATTTGCAAAGATCCTTTGAACAGTGCAGGTTTACAACTGTCTTATTCTGAAGCATGTAGTGATTAGTTTTGCTGGTTATTTCTGCCTTATGAGAAAGGGAGAGTTACATTCTGGGCAATGTGCTTGTTTATTCTCTGGCTCCAGTGGTAGCTCTTTCAGATGATTTAGGTTCCATGTGGCTGAAGAAGTCAGGAAGTAGCATGGAAGAAAAAATCTTAAGCGATGTTGTGCTGTTTCTCCATTTGGTATTGTAAAACCATTCCTTTGGGATCTCTCCAAAGCTATGCTTTCAGGAATCAGCACTTCATTGCTAGGACTCAGTTGCTGAAGGGAGAGCTGTTTTTTTCTATGGTGGACTCAGTGTGAATCCATTTGTATTCTGATCATCTGGTACATTTTTTTGTAGTACCTAATAGATCATAAGCAATGCAGTGGAATTTTTATTGTCAGCTATTTCTGTTTTTTCTCACACTTGAGTTTTTATGAAGAGATAAGTGGGTTTTTTGCTCTGTGGGTCTCCTACAGAAATACTCCAATTGTGTCATATGCATTAGATAGTATGTTATAACATGCATAACTGTGTAATGATCAAAACTTGAAAGAAATCCCTTGGAAAAAAAAAATAGTAAAGAACAAGGCACAGAAATTAGAAATACTGCATGAAAGCAGAACAACACATTCTTTAAAAAAATCTTACTGTAAAAAGATTCATTTTTACTGAACAGTTGTCCAATTCAAACTTGACACTTTTAATTTTTTGTTTTCAGGGAGTCTGAAGCAATTATTCCTAATATCTTTTTTTTCCTGGTGTTGCTGTCTTATGAGCGATATCATTCCAAACAGATAATTGGAATTCCTAAGATCATTCAGCTGTGTGATGGTATCATGGCCAGTGGGAGGAAAGCTGTTACACATGGTAATTAAAAAAAAAGAAAAAGGGGGAAAAAAAGGCACCAACACTAACATTAGTAATAGTTCAGCAATAGAAACAGTATTGAATACTAAGCTATAGAAAACTGTAATCATACTGATTGTTCCAGAAGACACTAGCTTTTAAATTTTTAATACGTGAAATAAGTCTCAGTTCCTTCAGGAAGTTTATTGTACCCTACTAACACTGCTACCCCATATTTTGCATCGTACATAAAAGCAACAGAGCTTTTATTTGAAACTTTATTAGGTAACAAGTTCACAACATAGCAGTACTTTGAAGGCTTTGATTTTAATTTTTTGTCCCCTTCCCTTTCCCTCCACTTTCAGCCTTTAAGTAGAAGCATCTGTCTCATACCTTCCAGTGATTCTGCTGAGAAATACTTTATAAAAATATTTATTTTAGCTCTATGAGAATGGGCAATGTGTCCATAATATAAATTTTCTACTAGAAGTAAAAAGATAGACATCATTATGCATGATAAGTTTGGGTTTTGTTTTGGGTTTTTTTAGGGATGGGTAAAACCTTTAATAAACTAAAGCACAGTTTACTTTTAGTAGCTGAACTGTTAGAACAAGAAAACAGTGTTCAAGAGTGACTTGTCTCATGCTAAAACAAACAAATAAATCTCATTTCAGCAATACCAGCTCTGCAACCCATTGTTCATGATCTCTTTGTGTTAAGAGGAACAAATAAAGCTGATGCTGGAAAAGAGTTGGAAACACAAAAGGAGGTGGTAGTGTCAATGCTGCTGAGACTTATTCAGTACCATCAGGTAAGAGAGGAGGACAAAGTGTCTCTGTTCACGGTCTATAGAAGGGTAACATTGCTTTGATTGCTAAAACTGCGTTAGGCAATATTAATGATTTCCTGTACAAAACTTGAATAGCTGGACTCTGTGATCTTTCCTTACCTGGTGTTGCTGTCTTATGAGCGATATCATTCCAAACAGATAATTGGATTCCTAAGATCAATCAACCGGGGGAAGGTATCATGGCCAGTGGGAAGAAAGCTGTTACACATGGTAATTAAAAAAAAAGAAAAAGGGGGAAAAAAAGGCACCAACACTAACATTAGTAATAGTTCAGCAATAGAAACAGTATTGAATACTAAGCTATAGAAAACTGTAATCATACTGATTGTTCCAGAAGACACTAGCTTTTAAATTTTTAATACGTGAAATAAGTCTCAGTTCCTTCAGGAAGTTTATTGTACCCTACTAACACTGCTACCCCATATTTTGCATCGTACATAAAAGCAACAGAGCTTTTATTTGAAACTTTATTAGGTAACAAGTTCACAACATAGCAGTACTTTGAAGGCTTTGATTTTAATTTTTTGTCCCCTTCCCTTTCCCTCCACTTTCAGCCTTTAAGTAGAAGCATCTGTCTCATACCTTCCAGTGATTCTGCTGAGAAATACTTTATAAAAATATTTATTTTAGCTCTATGAGAATGGGCAATGTGTCCATAATATAAATTTTCTACTAGAAGTAAAAAGATAGACATCATTATGCATGATAAGTTTGGGTTTTGTTTTGGGTTTTTTTAGGGATGGGTAAAACCTTTAATAAACTAAAGCACAGTTTACTTTTAGTAGCTGAACTGTTAGAACAAGAAAACAGTGTTCAAGAGTGACTTGTCTCATGCTAAAACAAACAAATAAATCTCATTTCAGCAATACCAGCTCTGCAACCCATTGTTCATGATCTCTTTGTGTTAAGAGGAACAAATAAAGCTGATGCTGGAAAAGAGTTGGAAACACAAAAGGAGGTGGTAGTGTCAATGCTGCTGAGACTTATTCAGTACCATCAGGTAAGAGAGGAGGACAAAGTGTCTCTGTTCACGGTCTATAGAAGGGTAACATTGCTTTGATTGCTAAAACTGCGTTAGGCAATATTAATGATTTCCTGTACAAAACTTGAATAGCTGGACTCTGTGATCTTTCCTTATAGGGAGAGTATGCAAAGATTTTCGGGGGTAGGGAAAAGGTTCTGCGCTACAAATCAGTATTTCAAGTCAAATAACATGTCTGTGGGATTTTATAGTCAAGTCTAGGTAACAAAGCACTGAAAAGCTCCAGTTAGGATCACGATCTTGGTTGTATTGCAGATTGAATAAACAGAAGGTTAGTAGAAGAGTTGAAGTAAATTAGGATTCAAGAAACTTAAAAGAATGGGGGTAAAAGTGGAAGAGAGGACAGGATTAAAAGTAGGAAACATGCTGCATAGAGATGATTTAGGTATTGCTGTACAATAGCAATATCTTCAATAACATTTTAAAATATGAACTATTTGAATAAGGTAATGAAACTGGTAGTTAGGCAGTTGTTAGCACTTACTACTTTGCCCCAGACCTCATGGGTCTGGAAAACATGTTTCTGCCTTGTGGGAATATAAGAATGACTTTCCTCAATACACTTTGTTTAAAAGAAAAACACAAAAGTAATTTTAAGAGAAGTGACATAATTAACATGGGATCTTATTGCTTATTCAGGTGCTTAACAAACTTAATGTGCTTTTTCTTTCATCATGTGAAAATGCAATTCTAGTGTATGCTAATGTAAGCAATGTATTTTCTGAGAATAGTTGGAAAAAAAGTCAGTACATCTTGTCAAAATAATTTGTTAGAACTGCATGTTCAGATTGGGGTAATTTTGTGTATCCACATTTTCTTTTGAATTTGTAGTTTTATAATCATAAAATGACTAATATAACTATATGAAATGACACTCCGTAGACACATGATGTGAAATAGTGAATAACTTTGTGTTACATAAGGTACTGCAATTGCTAGCAGATCCCCTTCTGACACACTTAACCTATTAAAGACCACCCATGCACTGCTCTTCCCACACCGTCCCATTTGTAGTTCTTATTCTGTCCTGTTCTGCTGGTGCAGTATGTATAAACTAACCCTTGGGCAGTTCTGTTGTTCCCTGGCTGTGGCTGGGAAGTTCTGCAGTGGTGTCCCTGTAATTTGAGAGGCTCCAAGACCTGCAACCTTTAACTTTTTTCTGTTACAACTGTAGCTACCATCCATGGAGCTCCAGAGTTCAAGTCATTCAGCCCAGAATTGCTCCTATCTCCTCTCTCATGAGAAAGCTTTTTGGGAAGAAAGTCATCTGGTGATCTCTTTTTCTTTTTCTTTTTTTTAATTGGCTGCGTTTCTGAATCTGAACTACTTGAATGTCTTTTACAAGTACTCTGTCTAACTGGTTTTCTGAACCAGATTCTTCTGTCCCGCTTCCCAGT